TAGGAGGCTGCAATGCTTGGTAAGAAATGTACGCATTATCCTGCCCATGTAATTGTAACCCCTCTGTACAGTATGTTCACAAATAAAATAAAATAAATTTACTGAAAAAAAAAAGATTTGTGCCTTCAACTTTACCCCAAACCACCAAAGCAGTGTCCACTGAAACATTAAGCCTTCTCACTTAATCCCTACTAAGACACACACCAACTCGTTCTTGCCTCTAGTGTCTGTTTAGATGTGTACGACACTTCTGCCAAACTAGTCTTCCTAAAACTTTTCTTTCTCTGTATCCTGATCAATGATGAATAATACTTCATTTCCTAATGAAAAAATACTTTGTTACATCCTAAATACCTGTTTTATAGCCAAAAGTGCACATTTTGACCTTAAACCCCCTAAGTCTCAAGAGTCATGAATCATAGAATCATAAAGAATAGATAACACAATCTCTCCACTCTCGCTTTCATGTGAGGAAACAGACTCATGAGGGCCAAGCATCTTGCCCAAGACGACATACTTACTTAATACCAACATTGAGCCAGATTGCAGACATCCTTATTTCCAGGGTAATTCTATTTCAACTGCAAAACGCTGTAAACATTTTGGCCCTTTGACTGAATGGGCTCATGCCCTAGGAGAGCAAGTCCTTAGTTACTTTAAGAATTATAAGCAGAGCACTGTGTTCATTTGGAATGGCACCCTGCCGCCATGACTGCTTCACCCCCAATACCTACTGAGTTTCATCCTCAATCTCACCTCCAAATTCTATCAACTGTCACCCCACGTTTGAACTTACCCTTTCTAAGGAAAATCAACCATTTCTTCTTTGCAGAGAGCAACTTTCTACTTGTAGATTTCAACTTTAGAGGAATAAGCCACACATCCTCACCGCAGCATGTTCACCGTTGAGGAGAGCAATCGGTGCTAAAGCACTTCCTCCGGGTAACACCAGAGCGCCCAGGATTCCCAGCAAACGCTGTGAGGCTCGGTTCTTTTATTGCACTTCAAATTCATGAATTGGGGAGTTAGCAATGGTGAAATGGATCTGCAAATCTGAATCAAGAGACGAATTCACAAGAACATCTGCCCCAAGGAAAAAAAGAAAGTGTTTGGTTTTTAAGTGCTGTCTTAAGTACTTCATACGCTTCTGCAATTAGTGTACATGGAATCAATATTTAACTGACACCTAGAGAAGGCATTGGAAATAGCATTACAGGAATGGACCACTTAGTGAGGCATGTGAATCAGAAGTCAAGAGTGAGCAAGACAGTTTCCCCTACAGCCAGGAAAGCTACAAATCTGAACCCAATTCACCTTCTAGGGAAAGAAAGAACCTTTAGAAGGAAAGCTGAAAACAGCCAGCCAGGTGGTGGTGGTGGCTCACACCTGCAATCCTAACTACTCAAAAGGCTGAGATCTGAGGATTGCATTTCAAACCTGCCCAGGCAGGAAAGTCTACCAGATTGTTAATCTCCAATTTATCACTAAAAAGCCAAAAGTAGAACTATAGTAGAGGGCCAGTCTTAAGTAAAAATATGTTAAGAGAGCACCCAGGCTGAGCTCAAGCCCTAATATACAGAAAGGGAGGAAAGAAAGAAGTCAGGAAGGAAGGCAGAAAGGAACGAAGGAAGAAACAAATTGGAAGGAACAAAGGAAGGAATGGAAAAATGTAGAAGGGAGGAGGAAGAGAAGGGGGAAGGAAGGAAGAAATGAATGAGGATGATAGTCAAATGCATTCATTACATGCTCTTTGGAAGTACAGAGCAGGGAAATCGAAGAGGGGTTAGTACATTAAGTCTTAGCTATGGAGAGAGGGGTCACTAGAAGTTGAAATGGTTTGAGTTCTCCTGAGTCCTTTTCCCCAAAGTAGAGTAGAAAAGATAGAATAAATCTCCCACCACGAGGAACTTGGAGTTGTTCTCGCTTAGAGTGAGGCCACCTCAGTCTGTTACAAAGGTATGTCTAAGCTGGTGATTCATATGTAACACAAATTTATTTGAAGATCTCTCTCAGATGATGCAGTCAACTCATTTTATGAACATACACAGAGGGCAGATCAACATAGGGAGGTGGATTTCATCTTGCTGTCAGAAGAATTTTTTATTATGGTAAAATATACATAATATGAAATTGTCATTTAGCCCTTCTGATGTGCACAATTCGTGGGTGTTAAGTAAATCCAACTGATGTTCCAACCTCACCTACCCACTCCAGAACCTTTTCATCATTCCACATTAAAACTCTTAAATATATTAAACTAATGTCCTCATTTTCCAGGTTCCTGATGATCAGTATTCGACCTCGGACTCTCTGTAGTAAGTGGAATAATATTGTGGAAGTATCATAGTTTTGGACTAAAACTCAAAATGGAGTCCCTCGTGCTAAAGTTTATGTTACCAAGTTGAAATTAAGCTGTTTATCTGATATTCTAAAACATTAGGATTAGAGACAAAACAATCAGATTTCCCAAATAGGACTGCTTACACACACACACACACACACACACACACACACACACACAGATAAAAGGAAACACGAAGTGCCCTAAGTTAGTCAGGTTTTTTGTTTTTCTGCTTCCTGTCCCAGCCTTATAAGAAAGTAACTGACATGATCAATCCACTCTTTGTTCTGTTTCTGCTTCCTTCAACCTTTCTCTGTATGTAAAACCAAACCTCTTCTGCTCAGCTTATGGGAACATTTATTCTACTTTATGGAACAAAGAGTTGCTTCATTCTAGAATCAGAAACAAAGCCAATTAAGAGCTGCAAAATAAATTGTTGTGATGTTTGTCCTTTGAAAACATAACATGTGCTTTTCATCTAGCTCATTGCATTGTGTCTTCAAAGTCTTCCCATGTTAGAATGCCTCTCAGAGTTTCTTTTTCCCCCTAGTTCTGAAGATCCAACCCAGGACTTTGTACATGCTGGGCAAGCACTCTATCATGGAGCTACCTCTCCAGTATAATTAGGATTGCCAATCCTAACACATCAGTTTCTCACAGACGTTGCAGTATCTTCTATTCCTACCAGACATACAGCGCATCCTTGTCAACAAAGCGATATTTTCTGCTGCTGTTGTAACAGCCATGGCGGCACCACAGCCCCAAGAGGTAGGGAGGGGCTGGTGGGTGCATTCTAACAAAGACTGGACCAACTGACAGCGTTGGGCCGGAAGAAGAGCAACAGCTTCTATTTGCTGTCTCTTGGGAAGTTCATTCTTGGAACGTGGCCACCACGCTGCTGCGAGGAAGCCCAGACCACCCAGCATGGAGAACACCTCGCTCTGGCACCCAGAGAGCCAAGCATCTTAGTCTACCCCAGTCCCAGCGAGCAAAGCCGACCTGCCCGGCCCGAGGCCGCCCCCACGGCCCAGTGGACCTTCTGCCACCCATGACCAGACTCAGGGAGTGATCAGAGGGGACCAGGGCTCCAAGCAGGCCTGGCCTGAAGAACCCCAACTTTATGGCCAGGGCCTTGGCCCCTCCTCCTCCTTCCTGCTTAGGACACACCCCCTCCGGCGACCAAGGGCAGAGCCCCGCCCTCGGAGGGGTCTGCATCCCAAGTCTGATTTCTGCAAGCATCCTCTGCTCATTTTTCTAAGCCCAACCCTGGAACTTTCCACAGCCTCTCCAGATCTCTTTCTTGGCTCTGGGTTAGAAATAGATTTTTCTTTTCTTCTTTCCTCCTCCTCCTCCTCTTGTTGTTCTTTTTTTTTTTTTTTTTAATTTGCCAGTCCTGGGGCTTGAACTGAAGGCCTGGGCGCTGTCCCTGAGTCCTTTGGCTCAAGGCTAATGCTCTACTCCTTGAGCCACAGCTGCACTTCTGGGTTATTTTTTGTGTTTTGTTCTGTGGGTGTCTTTTTTTTGGGGGGGGGCTTAATTGGAAATAAGTCTCGCAGACTTTCCTGTCCACACTGGCTTTGAACCGCGACCCTCGGATCTGGGCCTCCAGAGTAGCTAGGATGACAGGCGTGAGCCGCCACTGGTGCCCAGCTTAGAAATATATATTCCTTGGCAAGGGGCAGGGAGCAGAGACCAGCGACCTGAACTCGGTCCAGTATCCTGTCCCCCCATTTGGTTTCTAGAAGTTGCAGGAGATAAAGAGACGGGGTGCAGAGGAGAGACAGACAGACAAACATTAGGACACGGAGAGAGACACAGACAGAGAGACAAGAGAGAGGGACAGAGCAGACACACAGAGACACAGAGAGAGACACACAGAAAGACAGACAGAGACAGAGACAGAGCCAGGGCGCGGGCCCCTGGGCCGGTCCGGCCCGTGCGTCCTGTGGTCCCGGGGCGCAGCAGAGCGGTGGCGCTAACCCGCCCGGGGCAGGAGCTCCCAGGGCCGTCCTCGGTCCGCGTCGCCTCCTGACCCACCCCCAGCTCCGTTTCAGGAAGGAAATAGTTAAAGCCTCGGCCCTCGGGGGCCCGGAGGGGGGCGGCAGCTGTGCGCCCGGCTCTTTAGTAGCCCAGTCGTCCCGAGCGAGCGCGCACTGGAAACGCACCCGAGATCCAGGTTGGCTCGGCGGCTGTGGAGGCCGGGCCCGGGCCCCGGGAGGAGAAGGGGAGGCCGGGGGGGGGCGGGGGGGCAGGAGGCGGCTCCTCCCGCGCTTGCTTTGCCTGGCCAGCCCTCGCCCGGGACGACGTTGGAGAGGAGGTGGAGAGCCTGCGTCCGCCCCGCCGGTCGTCGCCCGAGGCTGGGGGACCCGGCGAGGACCGCCCCCCACGCCCTCACCCCGCGGCGATCCCCGCCGCCGCTCTCCGCGCCACCCACCCTCGCCAGCTGCGGCCGCGGCTCGCCGGCTCCACGGTGGGTACCCGGGCCGGGCCGGGCCGGGATGGGACGGGACGGGACGGGGCGTGGAGGAGCCCTCGTGCCGCGTCCTGCAGCGCGCGCGCGGGGCACCGCGGGGCACCGCGGGGCTGGGACCCGCGCCCCTCCCCGGGGGACGCGGGTCGGGGGTGAGGAGGCATGTCGGCAGGGCTCCCTGGGTGCACCCCCCTCCCCCGGCCTTTCCTCTGGCGTCCGGGCACCGTGGCTGGCTCCAAAAGTCGGCTGGGAAGTTGGCGCCGCCACTTCTCCCTCACCTGCTTCTGAGTGTGCCAGGGGCACGTGGTGTGTGGGAGTTGATGTCTTGGGGTGCAAGAAGCCCCTCGGTAGCTAGTCCGGGGCGGGGGCTTGCCTGGGGGAGCGTTTTCTTCAGCTCATTTCACATAGTGGCGGGGAAGAACCCCAGAGAGCTGGTTTTGAGCTATGCTGCGTACACCCAGCTGATGGCTTTCTCCAGGTAGACGTGGGAACGCAGCACCTACGGGACTCGGACTCCACCAGAGAATGAATGGTGCCTTCCTCAGCTGGAGAGCTCAACCCTAGGAGACTTCTCAGAGAGTTCTGGATTTTTCTCCACTTGTAGTTCCCCCCCCCCCGCCCCCCACGCTGTCAGGAGGTGGAGAGTAAGGTTGATAAGGAGCACGGTGTTCATGGAGGCCTGGACTCTACTTTTGAAGGGAAACACTCCCCCTCCCCCAGCCCAGCCCGTGTGTTTTTTAAGTATTAACTAACTGGGAAATACCTTTGGCCATCGTTTTACTTGTGCTCACCTAATCTGCTGTGTGTTTAAGTTTGGAATGTCCTAACTATTGATTTCAGGTGAACTTTGAAGGGTTGAAGAGGAGTCCATCCTGTCCCTTAAAAATAGCTTTTGCTCCTCAGCAACCTCCTAAGACCCCCTAAAAGGAAAAGTGCTGAATCTATAGACATCTCCTTCAGGTTTGAGCCTGAGATGGTTCCCAGAGCTGTGAGTGATGACTGGCAAGTCTGGCTTGACTGCATCTCACACACACACACACACACACACACACACACACACACACACACATCCTTGAAAGAACAGGCACTGAGTGGGGTCTTCCACTTGGTTTTGTATTTGTCACATGGCATCCACATGCCTTTGACAACCGTCCCTTAGATTTGTAGCTCCGCGTGTGGAAGTGATTTCAGTGTTGGTGTCATTGTTGGAAGGAAGGAATGTGGTTTTAATAATAGTTGGCTCACACCATGGTAAGAGCCTGCAGCCTTCACCTTAGTGTCTGCTAGAATCAGCAGACCACGCAAGCCAGCATGCTCCCGTTCCAAGTGCCCTGGGACTTTGGATGGGGGGTAGAATCTCCTTATAACCTCCAGGGAAATTCACAAAACGCCTTTCTGGCTAGCTCCAAGGAGAGCAGGAGTACTTTGTTTCCCAGAAAGGCCTCCATCTCTCATTTTGAGGAAATCCGTTACTAAATATTCCATTCCAATTGGGAAACTAGAAGGTCTTTGGTCACTGAACAGCACAACATAGTTTAGAACTCTCCCCTCCCTCCCCAACCTGGCTTGTGTGCTCTCTTGCTCCTGCTCTCTCTCTCTCTCTCTCCCTCCATCTCTCTCTTTCTCTTTCTCTCTCTCCCTCCCTCCCTTCCTCCATCCCTCCATCCCAAAGGAGGATGAACTTGAGCTTGAGCTTTGTTCTTGAACTCCTAGCCTCTTCAGAAAGCAAATCACGACATTTTGTGGGTTTACTGTTATTTGGACAGGTACTCCAGAGCATAAAAGGCAGGGGAAAACAAGTGAAAACTACTTATAATTAAGACTTGGCATAGCTGGCAAAATACATGGCAAGTGCCTAGTTTTGAAATTCTGATATTTTGTTATGACTTAATTGCACATGGAGTCTGCAGCAGCAAGGCATTACAATGGCCCTCCTACTTCTTGGCTACAAAGTCTTGCCATAGCTGTTTAACTTTTCCAAGACACAGTTTCTACCTACCGTTGTAAGACTAAACTCTGATAGATAACAGATACATATATGTTACTGTACACATGTATGTATGTATACTACATGTATATATGTGCCTAGCAAATATTAGGTTCTGAGTGCAAACTATAGCTGAACATAAGAAAAAAGAAAAGAAAAAAAAGAAACTTTGATACCATCTTTGACTTGAAATTCTGCTCAACCTTTCTGAATCTGTTTCCGGAAATACGCTTTCAACTTCGTGGGCTCATTGCATGAATCAGAAGACAATACATACATCAATGGTACTGTGCCTGACACAGAATCACACGGCTATGTAGGATGTTTACAAGATTGCATGGGGACAGGAAAACAAAAAAGTATAATTAGTTTGGGAAAGTCTTTTACTCTCATTGAATGGATTGGTAAATATCACGATGATAATTACTGCCAGTAACTCCCATCAAAAGCTGTAGAGTTTGCCCATTAAGCATCAGGTTTGCAAAATAACTATTTTTTTCTTTATGGTTATATCCTTATTTCTAGTACTTAGGGATTGAACCAGATCCTTGGGGATGGCTACCACGTACGCAGCACCCCTACTCAGGCTTTACCATTTTGTTTTGGGCAATTCTAGAATACAGATGGAACACCAAGCCTTGTGCATGCAGGGCAAATGCACTACCACCATTATATTATTTTTGATGATGATACAAAGATCAGCACACCTATTGACAGTGTTCATGGCATGCTAGTCGTAGACAAACATTTGTAGCATTTCAGATGACTGCCTTGCTGCATTCTATTCTAGATTTATATAATTCACATGTGGGGAAAATGCACACTTTGAATCTCAGATTTTTTAATTAGTGAATTGGACTCTTTTATGCCTCAATCCCATGCAGGTCGTACTCAGCATATGACCTTTTCTTTCAGTCATACATAAAATTTTGGACCTCAAGTTTAAAAGATCTTTGTACTTCAGGTTTTCATCAGTTCGGTTTAGAGAAGGGGGAAATACTATTTTAAGAGAAAATTGATATGTCCTCATCCATACTACCATACTATGATTTAAATATAAGTATAGATGTGGGTAGAGATAAGACAGCAAGAGAGCAAGGAGGCAGAGACAGAGAGACAGAGAAACACTGAGAGAAAGAAAAAAAGAGACAGAGAGAAAATCCTTCCTTAATAGATGTTTGATCTTTTTCTTTTGGCTTCTTTTTCTGTGGGTTTGGAATTGGAGTTTTTGAGACAGTCTTGCTGTCTAGCCCAAGCTGGCCTGAAACTAGAGATCCTCTGCCTCAGCCTCCCAAGTGCTGGCCATTACCCCCAGGCCCAGCTGATCTGGTCTTTTCTAGTTTTGTTCTGCCTTCGGGTTACCTGATACTGGTGCATCTTATCTAATGACCCAATACAGCCTGCATTCTAATGAAAGTAGCAAAATGATTGTCAGCTGCAATCTTTTTGGCAGCCTAATTTTGTAACAAAAGCCATTTTTCCTCCTTTATTTCCAGGTGAACTAAAAAAAGCAACCAACCAAGAACGTCTAAAAGCATCACAATAAAACACTTCTTCAGATCTGCATCAAGATGGAAACCTTTTGCCTTAAGATTTCCTTTTGGCTGGCCCTGGTTGGATATGTAATGGGAGATAATCCTGAGAGATACAGCACCAATCTAAGCAATTACGAGGACGGCACTGGTTTTCACGGAACAGAGCTCAACCTCCTTGTCACCACTCATCGGCCCACGAATTTGGCTGTACCCAGCAATGGCTCAATGCACAACTACTGCCCACAGCAGACTAAAATTACCCTAGCTTTCAAGTACATTAACACGGTGATATCTTGTACTATTTTCATCGTGGGAATGGTGGGGAATGCAACTCTACTCAGGATCATTTATCAGAACAAGTGTATGAGGAATGGACCCAATGCACTCATAGCCAGCCTGGCCCTCGGAGACCTGATCTACGTGGTCATTGATCTCCCTATCAACGTATTTAAGGTAGGAAATAACTGTTGGTGTGTTTGCAGATGTGAACACAGGTTGTGATTCCACAGTAAGAAATTCTGCTGTTTTTACCGAGTTGTTTCTGCCATCTTAAAAATCAGTGCCTCATCAAGATTTTGTTTTTTGTAATATATCTCACTTACCATGCCACTTATTTGCTAACAAAGCAGTGGTTTGCGGATGATGCTTCAAAACCATGATGCTTCATGAGTTGATTCTTTTTTCTTTTTCTTTTTCTTTCTTTTTCTTTTTTTTTTTTTTTGTTGGTCGTGGGGCTTGAACTCTGGGCTTGGGCGTGTTCCTGAGCTTCTTTTGCTCAAGGCTAGCACTCTACCATTTGAGCCACAGCGCCACTTCTGGCCTTTTCTGTTTATGTGGTACTGAGAAATTGAACCCAGGGCTTCATGCATGCTAGGCAAGCACTGTACCACTAAGGTACATTCCCAGCCCCTAGATAAAGATTTTTGAGAAAACCTCTGGAGTTTTCCTGAGATTGTGTTGTCAGGTTGAGACCTACTGTCCCCCAAATTCTTAACATAAATATATTGAGTTTTAGTTACTTTTCCATGTGGTGGTGTTCAAGGTTCATAAATCCACAATACTGTTTGAAATTAAAATGATCTGTTTTATGTTGACTGGGTGGATAATTCAAGTCAAAGGATGTGCTGGCTTTTCTCTGTTATCTGGGTGACTTGGAGGTAATGGGGTGCACCCGGTAGCAGGCCAGGAGTGATCTCATGCAGTATTACTAGAACCATGCAGACTAGGCCTGGCATTACTCTTGTCCACTTTACTGCTTTTAGTTTCTGTTTACTAAGTACTCTCTGCATGCCACCCCTGAATGAGGCAGTAGGATCCAGAGACAAATAAGAAAAGTGAGTGCTTCTGTGGGAGTGGATGCTGACTATCCATTCATTACTGGTTTATGCATCCCTCATCTTGCTTTAGGGACTATTTAGTCCTCAAAGCCAAAAAGAATGAGCTACTCTGCATTTGATATATTCATTGGGTAATAAGAATTCAACTGTAGGAAACTTCAAATGAAACTGGCATGATGTATATGCCTCATTTTATGAAATGTTTTTATCCTCAATCTCGGGAAATCATTTTCTTCCTCCCCTATTGTTATTAGTAGTATTAATATTAGTATGTTTACTTCTTCCTCCTCCTCCTTTTCTCTTCCTCTTCTTCCCCTCTTGCCTTTCTTCTCCTTTTTCTTCCCCCTCTTTCTCCTCCTCTTCCTCCTCCCCCTCCTCTTCCTCCTCCTCCTGCTCCTTCTTCTTCCTCCTCCTCCTCCACCTTTTCTTCCTCCTCCTCCTCCTCTCCTTCTTCTTCCTCCTCCTCCTCCTTCTCTTCTTTCTTCTTCTTCTTCTTCTTCTTCTTCTTCTTCTTCTTCTTCTTCTTCTTCTTCTTCTTCTTCTTCTTCTTCTTCCTCCTCCTCCTCCTCTTCCTCCTCTACCTTCTCTTCTTCTTTTTCTTCCTCCTCCTCCTCCTCCTTCATCCTCTTCCTCTTTTTCCTTCTTCTTCTTTGAAATATCCACAGAAACAAATTATTCCAGGTGTTAATATGCTGAAATGTTACTTTAAGTGACGAGTTTTGTCAACTGAATATAAGAGTCCATTTCCAATAGATGCACTATAACTATTATGAAATTACATTAGCCTACCAGAAAAATCAGTGGTCTAACATTAAGGATGAAAATAAGGATTGTACATTAAAAACCATTCAAATCCATAGCATATACTGTTGGCAAAATTAGAGAAATTATATAATGAATATTTTTTTAAACCGACCATTTCTTTCCACAGAACAGTATGAATTCATGTGTTTTCTATTTGAACTTAAAGTGGTCTTTTGGAACCAAACTGGGATGCATTGTTGAAAACATATAATTAATTTAAAATGTTTAGCATATGCTACAGAAGGTATTTTTTTCCTTCACAATGTTCTTAATTTTCCATTTGTGAGTTGCCATGGATACTTGACCCTCAACATCTCCCCTTAATGACAGATTTGGAAATGTTGGCATGACTTAGAGTGTGGCATATTGAACATTGATTGTTCATACTTAGCCAGCAGTTTTAACTAAGCCATCTTTGTTCTAAACAATAACTCATCATCCCTGAGTTAATAACTCCCTGCTGCAATTCATGCTGAAACACACGAAAGAGATTTGACTGTGTGGAAAACAGTGTCTTGGAAAAGTAATACATGCAACCACTGAGAAGGAAACCTGCACATCTCTGAGGTACAGTCGCCAGTCACCAGACAAGACCTCATTTCCATTCCACAGTCAAATTGTCTGAAATGTTTCCAAATCGGTGAAAACCAAAATAAAACTTTTGCTTCATGTTCATGGAACAACAGATGGAGAGTAGCACACTTTTATTTAACCCATGGTTCTTCTCTTTTAGGGATCCTATACTTTTAGGCAACTTTTATTATAATTGTAAATAATGTAGACAGTTAAGACTATGGTGTTTTTATATCACAGGAGTGAAGTTGTATAATTTCTGTTTTTTCCTTCATGAGTCATTTAATTAACATTAATTTTAGGAAGTCTTTTTAAGGTTAATATAATATATTCTTTAGTCTTCTTCCAGAGGAAAAGAGAAAAACACTGGAGTGACTTAGGAAGGCCCAAGTATTTAGGGATGGTCTCTCTTTCTCTGCCATCCTGCTCTCTGGTCAGGGGCCCATACCTCACTGCTGTTCCTTTGACTTCTGCCCAGGACAGTCAAGAGAAATGCTTCCAGGCAATGTGAGATCAGTCTCTCATTTCTGTCCTCCACCCCTGCCTCCTGCAGCTTCTGAGGCTTTGAAGTCTTTTGTGTATCTAACTGGTAGATTCTTCTGACCACATCAAGTTCACTGCCTCTATGCCACAGAACAAAGTAACCGTTGTCCAATTCACTTTGCCATTGTATTTAGGGACCTATGAAAATAATGTATATTTTTGAAGAACATTTTACTAAAAGAATGTATGTACCAGCCTTCTTTACCCTATCCACTATCAAGAGAATTAAGTTGAAGGAAAAAAATGGTTGAACCTATCTGCTGTACTCTTCAAAAGAAGTTGAGTTTAAAAATCCAAGTTATTAACTGTGTTTAGCAATCCGTTTTGTCCTCAGTTCTAAGGTGTGTCTGTCCAGACTCATATCAGAGTCAGCGTAAGTAGAAATAGACATGTGAAGACTGTGTCTTCGGGCAAACAAGAATGCTGAGTCAGCTGTAGTGTGTCCCAAGAAGAAGAAAGGCATCATGGTATTGAATTGACACCATGTGCTCTTCCACATGAAAGGGCTGGTGGTGGGAATCACCATTGAAAAGCATCATTTGCCACTGCAGACATACGGGGTGGAACCAGATGGTCTGTGTGCATGGAAGAGGGATATTCCACACATGAGTTTCCAAAGGTGACTTTACCCAGTTTCTTCCTCCAATCTCTTGAACATTGTTACACTTAACAAAGCCCCCACTGTCTCAGAAATGGGGAGCTGTCCCCACCTGTCCCCACTGCCTCCCTGTTCAGCAATCTGGCCACCCTTTACCTCCTTCTTTCCAGTTCCTGATGTGCATGCCCAGCTCTTGCAGGAATGTCATTGCTACCCATAAGGAACTTTCTGTGCTCTAAGTAACTTTCTCAGAGAGGCTAAATGTAGTCCCTTAACAGCTGCTGCCAAAGGCTTTGCACATCTTAGATTATGAAATGGGTTCACTCTGGCATCATCTATGTGGCATTAAGAAATAGAACAATGAAGAGGAACTCCTCTGGCTCTTGTTTACATACACCCTCACATATGAGTGACAAAAGCCTATCATACAATCAGAAAATACAATGCAGAGCAGAAGAAACCAAAGGAAACAAATGTGTGCCAGCTGCCTTCTTGGTTTTCAAACATAAAAGGGCCTTTAAAATGGTAACATTGGAGAAAAGCTGTTACTAACCTGATCAAAGGATAACACTAATTTTTAGTTGTCCAAAAAACAGATAACATCACTGATGGCAATTGAAGACTAACAACAAGAGGAAGGAGGAAAGGAACGGAGCTAGCAGACCTTCCCCTCCACCCCAGCTTATAGCCTAAGCTGGAGGTGGATTCAATTTGTTACAAAATTGTATTGTCTTGTTTTTTTTTTAATTCTTAAGAAGCACAAAAATTTAGCAAAGTAAATGAATATGCTCCTAAAACATTTACATTTAGTAGAATGGCAGGATGTTGGAGGATCAAAAAACAATCCCCAGTTAGTAAATGGCAATATTGACTAGAAACATAGAATTTGGTATTTCTATTCTTTCATGACTCATAGTATTTATGTCAATGGAAAGCCTAACATTTGCCTTGAAGGCAGGGGAGGAACTTGGTTCTGGATACTCTTGACATGTACGGGAGTCATGAGTAGTGGAGTTTCTCAGCTACACCTGGCCTTTCACACAGAAACATGGATGACAGAAATAGGGCAAAGAGCAAATGATACACAGGTACAAATGACACCACGAGAAGAAGCCTCATGCTTGGCTTACAGGAACTTCTGGTGGCAGGAGGTTGAAACCAGGGCTGCTGTGAACAGTGCTAGAGTTGAATCACATGTCCCGTTAGCCTGTGGCATCAAGTGGATGAATAAGAACCACAGTTACAGATCCAGTTACTGGTAATTCTTATTTCTGCCTTACTCTAAACCACCATCGCACATGGAGGACTGCACTCATTTCTGTAACAATACACAGTTTCTGTGTGAAATTGCCAGGAATATTTTGCAATGAAAAGTCAGGACTTCCAATATGTTGCCCTGGCATAGGATCTGAGCACTGGGAAAACCAGAGGATCTCACCCAGGGCCAACTACGTCCCTGTTCACACCTCACACAGCCCTCACATGCTGGGCCACTGGGACCCTTCTACTTGGGGTAACCATACAAAAGTTGTGTCTTGACACAGCGACATACCAGGGCAATTTGTGTCTCAGAGACAGATTGCTATGACTAAAACATT